AGGAAGGCCCAGTTAGGATATCCACATTGCTCTAGAGCCTGTCTTGTGTGGGATTTCTCCTTCTGCCTGGCTCCTGAGCTAGTGGGGACAGAAGATCAACATCATCAGGCCAGGACTCTGTGGTCTACACTCATCTCCAGGCCAGCGGTCACTTTTTCAGGGATGAAGATGTGCACATCCTGGATAGAGAGGAACGATGGTTTGAGAGAGGAGTAAAGGAGGCCATCTTTGTGAAAAGAAACCGTCCATCGTTAAACAGGGGTGGAGGCCTACGTATTCAATTGTCCCCCTCTTACAATGCGGTGATTGCTAGTATCACTCAGCCCTCTGTGAATATTAAACAGCCATCAGTGTGCTAATGATCCATTGTTAGGCTGATGGTCCTTCTTGAGCATGTGATCAGCTGGTTTTGGTTGTCAGCAGCAAAACTAGTTGATCCACTCTGAGAAGGTGCTATTTAAGAGACTGAGCTGAATACAGCACCTCAGACTGAAGAAGTCTCTCGGACGAGAGACGAAACGGTTCTACATTTTTTTGTTGATTTGCTTTGTTTTGGGTTTTTTTGAATGTCCAGAGGACCAGATTTAACTTTTTTAGATTATAGACAAGTTGTACAACAAACTTTATGTAATTTGTCTTTTTAACAGATTGAAGAGATGAGACAAATCACCTGGAGCCAGTTCTAAATGATACAGTTTATGGTTTATAAATTATAGTTCAGAAAATGTTTTTGTGCAGGTTTCCACAGGTTTTGAAATTTAGTTAAATATTTACTAAATATGAATCAATATGGTTAAGACTGAAGTCTGTATATTTCATATTAGGTTAAGTTTTGAAAATATAACAAATGTTAGAGCAATATGGTTAAAAATAACTGAAGTCTGTATTTTATTTTGAGTTAAAGGTTAATGTACTATGGTAGGTTGAAGTCTATTTAATTTTATATTTATATATTTTGAATTATTTGTCTGTGACGGACTGGAGACCTGTCCAGGTGTCTCCTCCTCCCCCCCCCCCCTCACACAGTGATGGCTGATATGGGCACTGGTGACCCGTAAAGGAAGAAGTGGATAAAGATGTTGGATGGATGAATTATTTGTTCATAGAATTTTTTTAAATTTTATTTTTTTTAGAAAAATTCAGGAAACTAAGCTAACCTAATACTGGTAATATAAGTTACAGAATTTTATGCACTCCTATATTTTTTCCTATTTTTGGTATAAATATAAAATGAATCAAAAATATTTGATAGAGTAAGGAACCTAAAATTATTGTTTTAAATAACTGTTCTATTTGTTTACATTGTTGTTTAATCTTTTCAGCTTGTCAGTTACTTAATTGAAACAAAATTTATGACCATTTCAACAAAAAAATCGTTTCTGAATCGAAAATAGTTTCCGAATAGAAAAATCAATTTTAAATCGTATTGTGACACTAAAAATCGGAATTGAATCGGATCATCAGACACTGAGAGATTCGCACCCCTAGTACATTGTAAAGCAGACTCGTTCCAAGTTGTCTGGGCAGCGAGAATGCGGAACTCGAGGGCGTATTCTGCGACAGGTCGTCGGCCTTGGCGTAATCCTAGGAGCCGCTTTACGGCATTGGGTTCCCGCAAGGGACGGTCGAAAGTCCTACGAAACTCTTTCAGAAGTGAACCAAAGGAAATGGATTCTAACTCGTGGGAGTGTAAATAAGAATTGGCCCACCTGGGAGCATCTCCCTTGAGTTGACTGAGGAAGTAGGTGATCTTGGAAAAACTTGTAGCATAGGGTTGAGGAGCTCCCTTGAATACAAGCTTACATTGGAGGAGAAATCCACGGCAGTGGTCGGGGTCTCCTGAGAAATATTCTGACGGTTTAATTATCACCTGTTGGGATGAGCTGTCGGGGACAGGTCCCGTTCTGGAGGAGCTTGACGTCGGAGGAACGGAGGAAACTGCAGAAGGAGGAGAGGCGAGTTTTTGAGTAATCAAGAAGACCATACCTCCGAGCTCCTGCATGTTCTTCTGATAAGTTAACTGCTGATTGAGGACTTGTTGAAGCATATCTTCCAATTTGTCTATGCGCTCCACCTGGGAATGAGAAGCCTGCTTGTCCATGGTCTCGTTCTGGGAATTGTTTGGTCGGAGCATTTCTGTTACGACTTGCGGAACCCAGAGTGGTACGAGACCATGAAAACGAGATGAGACTCAGGAGTACAAATTGACAGTGTTTATTATTTACAGTGAAAAGGATGACCAGCTGGGACCCTGAGAAGGAAGGAGAAGGTCAGAGGTTTCTGGCTGGGTAAATGAGGAGATAATGTTAATCCAGTGAATCTGTCTTACAGTCCAGATGATGGTCCAAGGGGGACCAAGGCGGATCCCAGACGAGAAGGCAAGGAAGCGTGTGGCTGGAAGGCAAGGCACGACAGGGACCAAGGCGCGGAACCAGAGGAAGACCAAGGCACGAGGGGATCCACGGAGGCAGGTAATCATCAGTGGCAAATGCTCCGGTGACGAGTAACATATAGCTGCAGCCTTAAGTAGTCAGGAGCCTCATCAAGATGACGATCTTCAGGTGTGCTGATTGGCGGCCATCTTGGAGGGGAAAAAGCTGCAGCAGGTGATACTCATCACACTTTTGTGGCCTCTGCTCCTTGTAGCCTCAATGTTCCACCTCCTCCCTTTAATTCACACACACATACTCTGTCTTACTACAGCTGACTTTCATTCCTCTTCTTTCAAGTGCATACCTCCACCTCTCCAAGTTCTCTTTCACCTGTTCCCTGTTCTCACCACAGATCACAATGTCATCTGCAAACATCATAGTCCATGGGGATTCTTATCTGACCTCATCTGTTAGTCGGTCCATCACCAGAGCAAACAAGAAGGGGCTCAGTGCCGATCCTTGATGCACTCCCACCTCCACCTTGAAGCTATCTGTCACTCCTACAGCACGTCTCACCACTGTACTGCTGTCCTCATACATGTCCTGCTGTCCTCATACATGTCCTGTACCAGTCTAACATACTTTTCTGCCACTCTAGATTTCATCATGCAATACCACACCTCCTCTCTTGGCACTCTGTCATATGCTTTTCTAAATCCAAAATGTTCTTTCTGACCCTCTCTGAACTTCTCCATCAGCATCCTCAAAGCAAAGATGGCATCTGTGGTGCTCTTTCTTGACATGACATGTACCCTCTTTAGTGTACAGTCTCCCATACAACTCATCATATGCCCTCTGCTTTGCCTTAGCTACCTCGCTCTTTGCGCTACATTGCATTGCATCTCATTTATTCCTGTCTCCTCTCTTCAGTCCTCTCACTGTCATATTTCTTCTTGGCTAACCTCTTTCTTTTAATATTGTCCTGCACTTCACTATTCCATCACCAGTTTTCCTCATAATCCATGAAGGCTTAGGTCAGAGTAATCATATTTTTGTCCATGTTTTTGCATGTTTGGCTGTAACATTAGCAAAATATCACATGAATTACTAATTCCAAAACACCAACATGTCCGCTAGAGCTCGTTTTAACCAGACTGTTCAAAGAGATGTTTCCCTTAATTAATATCCTCTTTTTGAATTTGGTTGAGCACTCATTAATAAATGGTTATGTACCACAAACTTTAAAGTTGCTGTAATAAAACCTTAACTTAAGAAACCTGATTTTAATTCAGGAGTTCTGGCCCATTATACATAGAATAGTAATAATAATAGTAGTAGTAGAAGTAATATACTGTGTTTTAACAATGTTCTATCTAAAAAAGTTAAATCTGGTCCTCTGGACATTCAAAAAAACAAAACAAAGCAAAACAACCAAAAAAATGTAGAAACGTTTCGTCTCTCATCCGAGAGACTTCCTCAGTCTGAGGTGCTGTATTCAGCTCAGTCTCTTAAATAGCACTTTCTCAGAGTGGATCAACCAGTTTTGCTGCTGACAACCAAAACCAGCTGATCACATGCTCAAGAAGGACTATCAGCCTAACAATGGATCATTAGCACACTGATGGCTGTTTACTATTCACAGAGGGCTGAGTGATACTAGCAATCACAGCATTGTAAGAGGGGGACAATTGAACACGTAGGCCTCCACCCCTGTTTAACGATGGACGATTTATTTTCACAAAGATGGCCTCCTTTACTCCTCTCTCAAACCATCGTTCCTCTCTATCCTATGATGTGAACATCTTCATCCCTGAAAGAGTGACCGCTGGCCTGGAGAT